GAGAGCCGTTGAGATGTTAAGCTCCTTCCCTGCTGAAATGAAAGAGCATTTGCTTTTAGGTTTTTAAAACCACACTCATTTTCCAGAGAATAACAATATGTGTGCAGGGGCAACTGACGTGGCAATTTGTTGCAAAAATTCTGTTGCAACTAGTAACAAATAAGCTGGAGAGGGCATTTCAGCTGAACAAAATCTTAGCAGTTAGGATGAAATTAGCATAAAGTTAGGATAAAATCTTTTTCAAAAGACACTTGCTATTGCTGGAGCAAAGAGATTATTGGAAGTCTGTCCACCATGATGGGCCAAAAATTTGCTGTCTTGCTCATCTGCTGTTTTAATTGGCAAACTAGTACATCTGAATTACTATGAAAATGGTCTGTTGTTAATTTTTTTCCAAAACTTTTTCAAAACTTTTTAACAAAATAAGTTTTAGAATATGCTTTATAGTGATTTGTAAATTTAACTTGTGATGCTTAGGGTACATTGGGAATTTTTTGTAAAATACCTATGTTACTGGAGAGGAAAAAGAAAATCTTCAAAATTTGCTTTCTGAGGATGAGGACTGCAGGTTAAACTTGTCCGAAGAAACATTAGTGTTAAAAGTATGTAAGTTTTTGTGTGTATCCATGAGGTTTTTAAGTAGTGTATTTATTCTCATCAACATTTAGAAAAACAAAGAAAGATGCTCATATTTTGGATGTGACATCTGTTTTTGAGCACAGCAACAAATGTTTTGATATTCACAAACAGAAGTACCTGCTCTTAGTATGTTGGGAGGCTGGGGTTTGAATCACTTCTATAGCTGTAGTTTGGATTTAGGCATATTCACTTGTGCTGTGACAGCTGTGACTGCAGATTACTTCCTCAGTCCCCTCTTGGAAGGGGCTGCATTTGTATCCCAGGTTTCCTTGGATGCATCCTCTTTTCTGGTGCAATTGTCAGATTTTGGCCATTTGTCCAGCGCTGCTGAATGCGCAGCAGTTCAGATGCAGGAGTCACTCTGGGTTGCTAGATGTCCAGAAAACATCTGCTGAGCATCTGCAGATCAACCGTACAGCTCAAGCACAGGGAATTCAGTGCATCTGGGACGTAGCTGAGCTGCTGTATGCAGCCAGGGTGGCAGACATGGGAAATTCAACACCTCTTGGTGCCTCAGGGGACACTTCATGAGTTGGTCAGCTGTATGGGGTGTGTGTAGGAGCTGTGATGCCTTCCAGATATCGCATCAGTGTGCAGAAGCTGGAGCTTATTTCTGTCAGGAAATCCTGATGATGTTATTCAAACCTGCTGAGCATTTTGCAGCCCCTTCTGACTACACTGGGAACTGTGAAGATGTGTGGCATTTCAGGAAATCAGGCTGAGTGTTTGCCTGAGGATAGTTTAGGAACCTTCCTTCAAACATGCATTTTGAAAACCTTGGCATTACATATTACTGCATGAGTCATGTTTCAAGCACTGTTATGGCTTCTGCTGCAACATAATGTAATGTAGCCAGATCCATACACTACGCTTCGAATTGCATCATAGATGTTTTACAAGTATGGTTAAGTCAGCCAAGGAATGCAGTCATTTTGTATTGCTGACGTATCATGTATGTCCTTTTAATTGTTTTTGACATACTACTGTAGAGAACTTGCCACGTTCTTATGAAATCATGAAAAATGAAATAATCTGTATTATCATTTGAATGCCACACGTCAGCCACAGAAGCTAAAGGCTTATGATGCTATAGTGGAGAGTAGCAGGATGGTCATAAAAAAGGAAGAAGCCGTTTCCAAGAAGTAACCTGAGAAAAGCATTTAGAAAGGTCATCTTTACAATCAGTGTCCAGATCGCTAGGTTCAGTCTTGCAGTGTGGCACTTGTAAGCATTCCACATAATTCTTCTTATTGTTTCTAGCATGGTGGGCAAGGAGCTATGACACACGTGTAAGGTGCATTATAATGTTAAACCCCTCTTCCCTTTTGCTTTTTAAAATCTGGTCTTCTTTCCAGTCTCTTCTTTTGCTGCTGCTTACCATATTCAACTGAGGAGATTGTGTTTGAGTCTGTTTCTGCAGAATCTCAGTATGTAAATTTAAATCTGACCTTTTCTGTTTTATTTTATCCTAGTTTATCCATGCCCACTTTTTAGTGTCAGATTTCGTAAGCCTTTGTTTGGAGAGACTGGACACACGATTATGAACCTTCTTGCAGTAAGTGCTGAGGCTGAGTTTGCACGTTCCATCGCTGTGAATGGATAAATGTGGGGAGAACCGTACTCCTCTTGCACATAGTAGCTGGCATGCTTAGAGGGTGACAAGAGGAGATAGTGGGCATTTGGGTGAATTTACCCGCTGTTACTGATACTGGATGTTAGCTTTCAACAACATAGTGAATTGTAAAAAAGTACCCAAATCAACATCCAAAACCTGGCCACCTGAGAATGTTTGGATCTTGAAACAAGTGCATTAGTTGCTCAGATTCCTTCCTCAGAAGTGCTAGGTCATCACAGTGTGCAGTCACAGCTCTCTGATTAGACAGCGCTTCAACTGAAGTGATTAGCTCTTCCTACTTTGCTAATATTTTCAATATAGAAAATTCTCTTTGATGCATGACTTAATCTCAGTGCTAGAAAACTAATAACTATCCGGTAATGTAACAGAACACAGAGAGCAGATTTTCTTACATGCAGTGATGACATTCAAGGCTGGAGAATATTAATTTTCAGAATTAAAATCAGTGAAATGGCTAACAGTCACGATGATGTTTTTTCATTTGTGTACTTCGATTATGTAGCTTACAAGCTGTGATGTCTCCCTCCCTCCCTGCCTTTCAGTCACCGATTACAATTATTTTAATGGGCTAACTAGTAGTCACTAGGATAGTTATGAAACCTACACTGTTAATGATGATCATCATGCCTAACTTTCAAAAACTTGTTTTAATTACTAGGACTTCAGAAATTACCAGTACACGCTGCCTGTGGTCCAAGGTTTAGTGGTTGATATGGAAGTCAGAAAAACCAGCATCAAAATTCCTAGCAACAGATACAATGAGGTAATGCTTGTAAGAAGTACATTTGTGTACAATTTCTTTGTGGTTGGAGTACCTGGGATCTAAAGGAATTGTATTTTATTCACTGCCACTAGGGAAAACTGCCTCAAAAGCAAATGATAAATGCATGACGTGCACATGTTTTGAGACTGAGTGAGGGTGGCTCCACAGAAAGAATGCAATTCAATGTAGTATTCATTAAACTCTTAAAATCTTTTTCTTCAGTTTTTTAACTGTTTATATGACCTTTAGAGGTCCCTTCCAACCCAAACTATTCTATGATTCTATGATTCTATATATAAAGTGTAATTGTAAATAATAGAAAATACTGGTTTGATTTGAAGAAATAAGTTGACAAACTTTACACTTGAGGTAAACTAGGATTTACTAAATAAATAACTAACTAGGATAAACTAAAATTGCATTAGCTTTTCTCACCTGTGTTGTGTGTGCATACTTGAAGCATTTATTAGTATTTTCTGGGTTGCTGTTTATTTTATGTAAAATTTCTCTCAACATTTAAATTTTATACTTGATTTCTGATGTGAGAAAATCAATCAGCATCTTTAGGATTTAGAGCTGTTCAGAAAGCTGGGTGAGAAGATACTTGAACAATAATGAAACAGCAACGGAGAAGGTGATTGATTTCATGTTCTCTCTGAAGAGGAGGGGATAACTTGGTATTTTGAAACCAATCAGCAGTTGGGGTGAGAGCAAACCTCCTGGGCAAAATGGTATTTGTAAACATTCTTGTGATATCAAAGCAGAATACAGCTTTATCTCAAGAGAGAACTTCCCTGCAAGAAGCATTTGAGTAAAATAATAGTGAGAGTAAAGAAATAAATTTAAAAAAGGAAAAAGTGTTCTTATGTGAAGTTTGAAAAAGCTGAAACTGATGAAGCAAGAAGACAAAGGGTCTGTTTTAAGGTGTATTAATTCCTGATGCAGTTGTGAGAAAATGGAAAAGGTCAGCAAAGTTTGCATAAATTAAATACAGATTGGCACACAAGATGCAGTTTTGTAAGTGTTAGCTGTGCCTGGCGTTTGCAAGTGTGTTAGCTTCAGTTCTGTATTAGACATCATTGCACTAAGCTGGACTGTGAGGAAGTCCCTGTGTTACACAACTTAGCAAAATCTCTGCATCGTGTTTGGGTTCTTTTTCCAGTGTGAAGCACCGATTCAGCTTTTTAAATGGAGAAAGTGTTACTTATTTAACATTATTGCCTGCAATCCACTTGAAAGATTGAATTACCAGCGATTTTTCATCTGAGTATAGTTTGAATTAAGATTAATTAAACCACAAGACCTTTACATTTTTCTCATGTAAAGCAGTATTTAATTAGAAGAGAATGTCACTCAAACTATCTAGAAAGTGAAAAACTTGTTTTAAATATCATGGACGGATTAAATGTGGAGAATTCAGACTGTAATTAACAAATTAAATATTAATATATAGTTTTATTAAATACATATTTTTATCTTCAAAATTACTTTAATTTTCTACAACTTCTAGTGATACTTAGTTGTCTGTTTAGTCCCTCAGCACAGGTGACTCTCATTTTTTAATCAGTTGCCTTGTTACAAAGTACAGTTGCCATGTCCAGTTGTTTCTTGTTATGCTAACAGCAATGACTGGGCTCCATAAAGATGGCTGCTGTTGAGCATGTTTCTGGAGCATGACATGATAAACCAGATAATGAAATACACTGTTGTCTGATGCAAAATCTTAATTAAGTTTCCTCCCCAAACATTACACCTGTGCACATTTGTCAATAGTGAGCATCAGCTAACGTTCCTGATGCTATAATTAAGGTTTGATGTTAGACTGAGAGAGACAAATGTGTTGTGTGTAGCGTGCATGCTTATCAGCTAGAGGAAGCAGAGGATAGGAGTATGAGTGCTGTTAAGAGATGTCAAATAATGCAGCATTTGCCTTCTCATCAGGATTGTCACTGGTGTGCGTGTGTGTGTGTGTGTAATTTAATTTGCCTTTCTTTCTTTTAAGCAAACATATAATTTTTGGTTTTGGAACAAATTCCAGAGATAGATGACTCCCTCAGTTTTCTTTTGGATCAAAAATCTCGTAGTCTGAGCCTCCATGAAGAGGAAGAGAGGAGAAAAGGAAAGAAGCTGTATAATTTACAAGAATATTTTGTCAAGGCACGTAACTAGGTGTATGTTAGATGATAATCAGCCAAACTGAAATGCAGATATATCGCAAACGTTTTGGATGCTTTTTGGAGGCCTGCTTTGCAGAGAATTAAAAATATTTCTGGATGTTTATGACTCAGATCTTTTTTAAAGTCTTCAAATTGGGAACACTGATCCCAATTTCACCAATTCATGCAGGTGAAACACAGAGACACTAAAGCTTTGGTGTCCGGTCATGGCAGAACCAGGATTAAATGGCACAAGTCTGAGTGCCAGTCTAGCACTGAACTGTGGAGGCAGCGTTTATGATTTATGTCATAAGTAACTGTAGTTGTGTAAACAAGGCAGATATTTCCTCCCAATGTTTTTCTAATTTTTTTTCCTCTGAATTTATTTTTTTAAAACAGCTAGAGATAACAGCTTTTGCAAGCTATGTAGCTCAGCTATCCCTTATACCATTTATCTTAATTACATAAAAGGTGGCATTTTAAAGCACCTAGACGTTAAAAGACCTGAACCCTCTTTTCAAAAGCAGTTTATGGTTCTGAGTGCTAAAATCTGACATGAGAACATGAACACTGTTGAGAAGCTTGCTCTGTCCGATTAAACTGTTCCAAGAATCACCTATTTATGGTAGTGCTTGATGAACAGAGTAGAAATGGTCAACATTTTATTTGCAGATGATGAAAGCCATGAACAAATCCAACGAGCATGTTCTAGCAGGGGGAGCGTGCTTCAATGAGAAAGCAGACTCGCATCTGGTGTGCGTTCAGAATGATGATGGGAATTACCAGACGCAGGCCATCAGCATCCATAATCAGCCGAGGAAGGGTGAGAACGGGAGTTCACGAGGAGGCCGTTCCCTCCCGGTGCTCTGCATGACTTCTTTGCCGTTTGTGTTACCGTTCCAGCATGTGGCTTTGTGAATCGGTCAGAACTGGGTTTGTCTGCATTTCACGGAGTTTCTGTTAGACATTCAGAGAAAATAATTCTGACTGCTGGCATTACTGAATGGGCAGCTTTGTGAGTTAGACATGCAGCACAAGGAATAGTAGTAACATGTTGCTCTATCTGCCCTTTACCCCCTTGGTGTTTTACTCCCCTTGCAGAATCTATGATCTCAGATGTCAGGGGGCACACTGTGCCGTTTGCATCCTGTGTACAGTCCACATCACGCTTCTCTAGGTCAATGGTGCTGTTCTGAATTTGTCTGAGAGGTGTTCTAGCAACTTTGTAGATCAAGCAGACATAAAATAAAGCACATAACAGCTTGTTCCCTTGTAAATAGGGTAATACTGCTTGCACAATACAGCTCAGAACTTGAGGTGCTCCAGAGGTCACAGTGCTGGCTTAGGCAACATCTCTGCATTAATAATGAGAGCTGTCTTTGGCATTATTGGAGACTACAGGTGATGTTGTGGTTGCCTGTGCTTGACCTATACTATGTGAAAGGAGGAAGATTACATTTAGTATGAGAGAAAGGTAAATAGGAATAACCAACAACAGCAGCATTTTAATAATGTATCTTCAAGAAACTCCTTGTGTTCACCTCATTTAGACCATCTAATTTCCAGGCTTTATTTTTGTTAGAGTAAGCTGAAAGGTTGTGCTGAGCATTTAAATGTTGTGGTTTTGGGGAAAATTTCTGGCAAAGACTTATGCTATCTCCAAATGAGAACAAGCAAGACAGAGACCAACTTTTATGTTTTGCCAGTATCACCAGTCACTCCAGTGGGTATACTGGCATGGGATGTCACTCAGGACTGATGGTCTTATCTGACTTCTGTCATTTTACATATGGGACAAGAAGAGGAATTTCCAGCAGGGATTTCATGATGCTTAGTGGTAATTTAAGCGAATTTTACTTTAAATCAGGTGGCTTTGAGCTGCGGCCTTGCCAGTGGGTTGGTGTTACAGTGTGATCTGTAAACAGCTCGCTCACAATCTTTGCCAGCTGTGTGGGAACATTTAGAAGTTAATTATGTACTTAGTTACCCTAAATTAGTAGTCCTGAAACTTAGAGGTGTATATGGGGAGAGGGAGCGTGATGAAATATGAGCATTCATTAAGGTTGACAAAAACTGTTGTCCAGTTTAGAAAATAACTGGGTGATTTGCCCTTCCATATCCAAGCCTGTGATGTGCATTAAAGTCACCATAATTCTAAGCAGCACTTGTCCTGATTCAGATTAATCACCTCTCTGGATGATAGACCTGTGATACCTGATTCTTGTGTAAGGCATTGTTTTGACGAAAGCCTCACTAAATCACTCCTGTTGTTGTTGTTGCAGTGACTGGTGCCAGCTTCTTTGTGTTCAGTGGAGCTTTAAAATCCTCTTCAGGCTACCTTGCCAAATCCAGTTTAATTCAGGGAAGGGCTTAGTCTCTCAGGCCATTCCCTGCTATGAATAGTTAACCCTCTTAACACGGCTCAGCTCTGTAGTTATCAGGGTTTTGCTGTTATGCCTTGGGCATTTGAATCATGCTGCTGCTTCAGCTTTATCCTCCATTTTAGCCAAAAAAAACCCTGTTTCCTTTAATGAGGAGGAACTTGTCCAGACGCTGTAGAACAGGGACACAAGAAAATGAGGGCAAGATGAGAAATACCTGGCTTGTGAGCTGGTGATCAGTTTACTGGTTTGGGTTGAATGAGGAAATTGTGAGCCTAAGAAGTACGGAATGTGTAATCCACCAACCAGGAGAGGAAGCTCTGCTAAACTTACTCTGTTCCCAAATAGCTCTGCATTATGCAAGATTAGGAATGTGCATTGTATGTATGCTTGTGTGTGGGCAGATGAGAACGGGACAGGTCGAGATTGTTGACCTGGTACCGCTCTGATTTGGTTTGTTCTTCTTTTACTAGTTGTCATCTCACAGAAATAAATGCTGTGTAGACTGGATTGAAAGCCGTTATTGCCTGTTAGCTGAGCTACAGAACTTTGTAGTCTAACCTCACTGCAGATGTGACAGTGCAGACAGTAGTGTTTTAAGTGTGGTCCTTACAGTTCGTGAGTGCGGTATGCAAGAAGCCCATGCGTGCAGTCAGTTAGCACAGCTCCACTGACGAGCAGGAACTCCTTAAGCTGCGCCAACTCGAGAGCTTGCAGCTGTATGAGCGTGCAGTCCATGGGTGAGCGGTCACCCAGGGCAGAAAAGCAGCCATCTCACTGTAAGTCAGTATATGTAGGTCATTGTACTATTTTCTGTGTCTAAATTGGTGGTTTAGTGCAAGACAGAGGTACAGGTGGATTCAGGCAAGGAGTCTGTACATTGGGGAAGTGTATCATTCCTAAGTTATTTCTGAAGTAATTTAGACTGATCCAATCCAAATTCTGTATCTTTTGCCACTGTCAGGCAAACATTGGCTCCCAAAAACTCTGTCACCGCTGGAGTGCTGCTTCCAGTGCCAACAGAGGTGATAGCTGAATGGCGGGGGGTCACACGGGGTTTCTAAGGGTTGCCTAGAGCAGATGTCAAGTTTTGAGACAAACTAACTTTACTTGGTAGATGGACTTCATGTTATCCTTGTGAGTCAACGCTCATCAGTGCTATGTTTTAGGAATCTGAAAGTTCACAAATGGTCTTATGTAGCGTTGCTGCCTATGACTCTTAAAATAGATGTTTAACCTTTCTGTTGCAAAAAGAGGAAGGATGTTTATTTCTTTTTTTTATATAGGCTCTGCTCAGTGTGGCTTATCTTGGCTTATGAGGATTTCTTGGTTCCCTAGATGGAGTAATGGTCCAGATAACTGCTGAGAGCATGGACTCTTTGAGGCAGGCCTTGAGAGAGATGAAAGACTTCACCATCACCTGTGGCAAAGTAGATGCTGACGATCCTCAGGAACACGTTCATATTCAGTGGGTAGAAGATGATAAAAACTTTAGTAAGGGGTAAGTAGAGGAGCAATTGCTTGACATTGAATGGTGACTAACTGTATTTGTTAAAAATTTGAATTGATCTTACAAGGTGCATGAATCTTCAAATCAATAGGAATTACAAGTCTGTGCCTCTATGTTGAGTGATAAGATGCAATTAAATGTAATGAAAATGGAATCAAGATACCAGAGCTTTGGGGCATTGATTTAGAAAGTTGTCAATGCTACGGACTTTTTGCCATTGCTAATATCCAGTTATTGGCAACCACTAGTCTGTCTCCAACACTCAGTGCTGAACCCTGCAATATTGTGGTCACTTTGCTCTCGTGGTGCTTAGTTTGCAGTAAGTAGTGCTGGAGATAAAATTGCTGAACATCAACAGCATATTTGGACTCTTGATAGTTAAGCCAAAAGAAGGGTGTATACGACAGCTTAAGTATTTACGGCAGTAAACTGCTGTTGTGATGGGTACAATGTTTAAGGACTCAGCATCTAGAAAGAAGGATGTTTCTGTAGTTTCAGGCTCTCCAGGTCAGTCTTAGGTTCTGTAATTAAATTCTGGGATGTGTAAGTAGTGTTTCAGGTATTGGTGGCCTACTCTGAGGTTACAAATGAATAAAAATCTAACCTGTATGAAATGCCTCATTGCTGTGTTAGCACCTTATGACATCTCAGCTCCGGTGTGAAGCTTTGTTGAAAACCTTCAGGAAGGTCCTTCCTGCACCTGGTTTGTGCTTATTGACCAGGGTGGGTGTCAGGGGTAGGAGCTGCAGGGGACAGCAGGGAGCATGCTGCCTCTCGGCTCTTCCCTCCTGCACAGCCCCGTAGGAGCCCATTCCAGAAAGGCCGCTCATGATGAAGCGCCAGGCCCAGCGCCACCATCACAATTAGCAGTTGCATTCAAGATCACTGGTTTGGGCACTGGGAGAAGCCTTTAGGTTCCCTTCTGAGGCTAATTTTGGCCTATGCCCCATTAAGCCGATGTAGTAAGTTGCGGTGTAGTAGCAGTTCAAATTGCAGGACACTCAGTTATGAAAAAACCTGCAGCGAGGCAGTTGGAGGTTCAGGTGTAGCCGAGGAGCTGCCCTTTGATCCTGATGTAGTTCTCTTTTGCAGTGCTCTCTGTTCAGCTCATGTCTTCCACTAAGTCGGAACTTACCCTTTTCCCTCCCTTATACAGTGTTGTAAGCCCTATTGATGGCAAATCAATGGAGTCTATAACAAGCGTGAAGATATTTCACGGCTCAGAGTACAAGGCAAACGGAAAGGTCATTCGGTGGACTGAGGTAAGTCAGTCACATTGAGCTGCGTGTAAACCAACACTTGACATTTGGGGATTGCAACTACAGCCTAGGCTTCCTTCGACCTGCTCTCCCTACTCACCAAAATTAGAGCAGCATATGCTTCAGAACAAACCTGTCTTACTTTTCCTACCTGCAAGGAAAAATGCAGTACGGCACCGTGCAGAATAAAATCTCCTATCACTGATGCGCAGCTCGGGCTGCTATCACAGCCAGCCCCTACAGCCTACTCTGCCTTGGCCACCTCTTCTCACGTATGGTTGTTGAACATAGGGGGAACCAGAAAAATACTGGCTTACTGTGTTACCCAAGGTAACAGTTGGTTTCATCGGCATTAGTGTTAAAAACTACCTTCTTAAATGGAGAAAAATTTTAATTATCGTTTTTAAAAAATGTTACTTTGAGCCACTTTCTCTAAAATACTGCAAGTTAAAATGAAATCACTTGCGGAAGCTGCTTGTATAGCTGATGTTAGCTGTGACTCTGCCAGCACACAAACGCTAGTGTTGAAGATTTCTTCGAGTGTTTCACTTATCCTGCCCAGGAAGAACGCAGTTAATCACTCTGCAGCTTGCCACCTTAGTATCCTTTTTTCTCAGGTCAGCTGGGCTCAACAGAGATGAGTTCAGTGACAACAATAGCACAAATCTTTAGGCTGGGATGGCTTCTACTAACACTGAATTTTCTGAAATTAACATCTGTTTAAAAGCAGTTTTTTTAATTAAAAACTATGTGCAATACATAGTGAATTTCCATAATGAGGCTTTTGACCAGAACTGAAAGGTTTTTGAGAACACAGCTATTTAAATCTTTCTTTTGAAGTTTTTTTTATTTTTTCCCCCCCTAACGTGGCTTGTCTTCAGGGTGTTTTGCTGGTCTTCCCTGAGCAGCCCTTCTTTAAGTCTTCATTTGTAAAAAGTTTAAATGGCATCTCAGTAACTGTATTTTCTAGAAAAGCCAAGTGTTGTGTCTTGTGTTAACTCTTTCCTTCAGGTGTTTTTCCTGGAAAATGATGAGCAACATAATGGTCTGAGTGACCCAGCCGATCACAGCAGATTGACTGAAAACGTGGCAAAGGCTTTCTGTTTAGCTCTCTGTCCTCATCTTAAATTGTTGAAAGAAGATGGGATGACTAAGCTAGGTCTGCGTGTTACACTTGACTCGGATCAAGTAAGTTGTGAATAGTTTTGGTTTAACTGGGGGGTCGTTCCCTTGTTCGTTCCCCAAAAAGGGAATACAACACTTCAGCCATTCTCTTGGTTAAAGAAGTAGCAATATCAGATGCTAATCTAGTGGTGCTGACTGTTGTTGGGTGGTTTGGGCCATCTGTTAAAATTGGAAAGCTAGTGCCTAGCCTGAATTACCACCAGGCTTGACCCCCATATGCCACTAGCAGCACCTGCTCTGTAATCAGAGACCTGTGACCAGCCCTGCCACGTGCTCAGAGAAGACTCTAAACTGGCCTTTTCACCAGAAGTTAAAGGCAGGGGTGTATTAAACGTGTTCTTGGGCAAGCGTAAAACATTGTTCACAAGCATGGCTGTTCTTGAAAGATCACACTGCATATGAGGCAGAGAAACAGATGGCAGGTCCCCTCGAGTGCTCTACAGCAAAAGCTACAAGCAGAGATAAGGGTCGCTTGGCAAGACAGCTGGCCTTGCCTGGGAGCGGACATGTTCTTAGCGTCAACCAGCTTTTAAATACTGCACGACTTAATCTGATTAATCTGATAATGCAGGGTGCGGTGCCTGCTGATCTGAAAGATCTGCTTTGACAAAGCGGTAGAAAAAAAGAGGCTACTTTTGTCTAGGCAGCCACTGGGAACATAGAGAAGAACAAAAACAAGTGGAAAAGCTGCTTTAGTGCCTGCTCCATCCTGTTCAAGTGCCCGACTTCCCCGGGCAGAGACCACAGCACCTCACACAGCTTACCCTCCTGCACAGCGCTTCCCTTTTACTGCCCACTGCATCACAGCCTCGTGTCCTGTTCTCTGTAAAACCCACTCTTACTTTGTATTTTTTAGGTTGGTTATCAAGCTGGGAGTAATGGACAGCCACTGCCCTCTCAATACATGAATGACCTGGACAGTGCCTTAGTTCCAGTGATTCATGGAGGGGCATGTCAGTTGAGTGAGGGGCCAGTCATAATGGAGCTCATCTTTTATATTCTGGAAAACATCTCATAAGAGGACTTCATTTTCTGTTCAGACCTGTTCCAGCAGCAGTTGTATCTGAATCATTTGCACTTTAAAACTGGAAAATTAAGCTTTTGTTAACACTATTGGGGGAGGGGGGGGGAGGAGGGAGGGACAGTTGTTCCATAATTCTAAATCTTCTATGCATTGTCAACAAACAGAGGATCAGGGCAGCTTCTATACTACAACATGGCTATGCTATCCTTGCAGCTAATACACTTCTGTTACTGTTTAGAAAAATGCTCATGTTTAAAGACTTACAGTCATGTACTCTAAATGCTCAAACGGGTGCAAAGATCACTGGGGCATAAATAAAAAGTGAAACTCCAATCTTGTACTGTTTGTAGACGGACATGTAACAAACAACAATCAAGACCTCCATTCTGACCTCATCATAATGCTGTTTGTGGTTATTCTGTCAACATTAAAAAGTAACGTTTACATTCTTTTGACCAGATTATTGGTTGAAATACATTTGGAGCAGCCCTTGAGAGATACAGAAGGATTACCTAGCCATAACTACATTTGTATATGCGTCCAAACGAGCAGAAGGGCAGGCATCTCTCTGAAAGCGGTATTATGTAAACTGCAGTTTTGTGTGTGTAATAGGCTAGTTTACTTTTTTTCCTCTATTTACTATAAAAACCCGTCACCTGGGCAGAGTTCTATAATCTCCTAGAAGAACTCCGCTATTCTGTACTTTGTTTACAAATCTGTGTGAAGCAGAGGAAATATTAGCCCTAAAGTGCAGTTATATCTCATTCCTCTTCCCCAGTAGGTTCTGCTTTTTAAAGAAAAGTAACACCCAGGGCAGCTTTAAGTCTCCTCCTTGCTGTATGCTGTAGTGTAACGCTAGTGTCATGTAATACAAGACAGCTTGCACTTCATATTAGCAGCACCATGTAAAAGCTTACCTGTGATAAAAGTATAGAGTGGCTGTTTTTGCATGTTCTGCTGAAAAAGGCTTTCTGGTCAGCTCTGAACACTCGCACTTGGCCCAGTGCTCTCGGTCTCACCTGAGAGGGCTTTAGTAAGGAAAGCAGCTGCTCGCATCTGCCACGACATTGTGAAGCTGGAATTGAGAAGCAGCCAGAGGAAATGTGCTTTCACATTCTTATTGTCTCCATGGAAAGCTGCTAACCAGTGGAAAGAGCTGAAAGCGGGAGAAGGGGTTTGGTTTGTTTAGCCATAGCCATGCACAGCAGCTGGTTTGAGTCCCTCCCAGGAAGGGGGGCGAAGGTTTCTCCTTCTGTCTATACAGAAAATTAATTTGCGAAGAGAGGGGCTAATAGATGGTGAACACAGTATCTCAGACATTGCATCGCCCCTACTCGCAGTCAGTTCTGGTGGATGCAGCGGGGATTATTTTGGTGTTGCTGTATGTGAGTAACACAGGCATCCTTTCAAAGATAAAGGGAAGTGCAAGGCCGCTGTGAGACTGGTGCTGTACCTTTTAAACAAATACACGGCATTAGACGGGCAAAGGAAAAGGTAACCGTACACGTAGCAATGTATTTTATGTAAAGACAGCACAGTATATGTACAGAGTGCGTTTGTGAATAAACGGCTACCGCTTTTTAAAAAAAAGCAAAGTCTGACAAACCCAATACTGCAGATTACAGCTGTCACCACCCAACACTCGGAGAAGGCAGGCCAGAGAACTGGGGTCCAACTCCAGAAATAAAAGCAAGAGGTAGCACACTACTACACTGGAAAGGGTAAGCGTTACATCAAAGTGAAACCTTACCTCTGGCATTTGGGAAAAGGTGGCTGGCTTAGGGCGACTTAATGTTTCACGATGGACAAACTTTAAGCTATTACACAATCACTAGCCTTCCTCTGTTGCAGCGGAGCAGGACTAAGGGTGCTTTCAGACTCCCCTCTGCACGCTGTTCTTGCGCACTTTGGGACACGGCGCAGCACTACATGGTGTAGGCAAGATTCAGTATCTGGAAAAGCGTTCCATAAAGTAAGTAATAACCTTCCTTCTAGAGCCTGCACTCCAGCTTTGCCACAGCAGCGGCTTTCCAGTTACTTTAGTTGCATTGTTACGCTTAATGATGCAGTAAAAGAGGTGAAAAATCTTTCTCTTCTCTTCCTTTGCCCCAAAAGTCTTTTAGGTTTGGATTATGTTTGTGCAAAACACTATCAACGGGTGACTGACATGTTTGCTTCAACCATAGCCTTTTAAATGACCTTAATTACCATGTTGTTAAGAAATGAGTACTTGTTTTAGAAAAAAATTGTACTTTTAAAATTCAGTTAGTTAACACTGCAAAAAACGGCATATTATATTTTTATTTTCAACATGTAGTTTTGTATATTAAATTTATTGAAATTAAAAACTAAACACTGTATTGTCTTCATCTGCTCAGGAAGACAGAGGCAGCGCTGCCTTACTTGTCTGGACTCTTTTCTGTCTATAAACTTGCCCTACCTAAATAGCTGGCGCAGGAGCGCTCCGACTCCCCAGTGCAGGCACATCCTCTCCTTCGAGATCAGTCGTTTCTGTTAGCTCACAGAGATTTAAAAACACAAACATATTTGGTACCATTTTTTGTGTGCTGCTGATCAAAAGCATTCCTGAAAATAGTCATAATCCGGTTTTCTATGTGACAAAGAGTGGCTATTTTCCCCATCACCTGAAAGAACTGTAAAGCCTATTTTTGTAAAAATACAAGGAACATTTGGGAAGCAGCAGAGTTTAGTGTACTGTTCCCCCCCCCCGCCTTTTTTAAATTAAAAAAAGAAAAAGAAAAGAAAAAGGATGAAGGCACAGTACCCGGGCTGCACTGAACAAGCAGTGCAGCAAGCATGGCAGACAACTGGTAGCCAGAACAAAAATGTAGATCTGTAAACACCTGCTGCTAAGAAGTCTTGCATTCTTTCCTTCTGAAAGGCAACGTCCCATTGAACTTCACGTTGCAATGGCATGCATAGAGGAGGGACGCACCGCTGCTAGATTGCTGCCCGAGTTCTCTCTCCTCTATTTTAGGAAACAAAAAAAAAAAAACCCAGAGGCCTTGATAAAAGAGAGAACAGAAAAAGCAGTAGCAGACTGTTCACTGTACCACGTTGGCTGCTCCTACACTTGAAAAAATGAATTCTAGTAAAGTCTTACCTGTGACTGGACTAAAAAGTTTTTGCACTGCCTCAGGGAATTTGTAAGGGGCTAAACTTTTCACACACCACTATGCATAGTTAATGTAACATTCATCCTGGTGCTACATTAGTAGTCCCACATTAAGGCAATTCTGTCTATTTTGTGTAGACTAGTAACAAGCCCCTGCAGCAGCAAACTTCCAGAGCCTTACATTTGCCTTAAAGTTATTAATAAGCATTATGGCTGTTATCAAAATAGACATTAGGTTCAGTAGTGCATTCGTTTAACATCTTTGGTGCTTGCGGCTAGCAGCATCTTTCTACATACGTTCATCCCACATCTTTTAACATTCCAATGGATCTGGGGAAAAAAAAAACAACAACAAAAACACCAACAAAATTACTCGATGCAGTACTCAACAGATGTTCACAATTCAAGGTCATGTTATATGTAAAATGCTGACGTGAATTTTCTGATGGTCAACTAGAAAAATCAATGGAGCAATATTACTAAGCTCTAGTGATGGAAAACGCTTAGGTGTCCAGTCACGGCACAAGGCCAAGCTGGTACTTCAGATACGGCCATCAAACGTGTCCCTCACAGCCAAACTGTGAAGCTCGGGGGCAGCTTACTGACCTCTTTGGCTGTGAGGAAGAAATCACTAGGCAAACAGTCCCTTTGGTGCTACAAATTCAGACCCATGTATTGAAACAAGACCTCTCGATCTGTAAAGTCTAACACAATTTGGAAGCAAAGGTGTGGCAAACAGGTGATGCCACTGTGAAGCTGATGAACATTAGCTTAACTGCCATTTATAAATGCAAAGCAAAACACTATGCTAAGGAGGAGGGAGCACAGAGACTTCAGGAGCTCAAGCAAAGGAAGGAGGATTACTTATTAGAAACCGTATTTATGCATCATCTGTTCTCCATGAGAAAAGGTGAGGTTTGTTCCATGCTCGTATAGCAAGGTCATGGTCCGAGAGGAGGGCTCTACATGCCGTCACGGTACAATAAATACCTGCTCGGAAGGGATCAACACGGCCATACCCCTGCCAATGACACCCTATGACTGCAGGCAATTTGCACACGCACCGAAGGGAGAACTGACCGTCCCTAGCGAGTCAGCGTCCTCTCTCTGGTTTTGTGAACATAAGCTGTGGGAGAAGCGAGGACTTAAGTTTCAGGATATCCGTGATTGTGTCCAACTAATCTGAATTTCTTTCAAACAACACCAGGCACGTACGTAACAGTAGGCGGAATCAGAGATTCCACAGGCAGATGGACTTCTGGTTCTTATCTTTCAGTAACTTTATGTAGAAAATCATTTAAAAAAAGACACCAGAATTTTTGGTATTTATTTGCTTTTTTTTTTTTTTTTTTTTTTTTTAGAAGAAGGGAGAATTTGCGATACCTAAAAAGCAGAGTATGAGAAAGGAAGACAAGCTCCAAAACCAAGCAGTTTCCTTAGAGGCTGGCAAGAAGAGGAAGCCTGCCTCTTTTTGATCCTTGTAATACACTGCCGCTTTGGCAGCACACGGCTCCTCTTCTGTACTTGATATGAGCACTGTGGGCACCAGGCACAGTTCTCCAGGTAGCCTGTATTCAACTGTACAGTTTCTCCCTGCCCAGAGGCCTCAAGTATCCAGAAGAAAGCCTATCTCCAACAGCTTCCCTTTCAGATGAAGTCAAGCAGACTTTCATGGGACAAACGAATGCCCTTCTCTAGCTTCTGGTAGGGGAAGAAGGGTCCTTGCTAACTCTGAAAGGTTTTTTGCTGACAATAAGGATGGACAGAAAGCACCCTCCCTCCTAGAAAGGCCTCGTCAATCTTAGTTTCTAAATATTATTCTAAAAAAAAGGTGATGCTAGCAGCTCTCCCTGTATTTCAAGTGACTGTGAAATAGCATCTTTGATAGACAAACTAATCAGAGATTCTGTAACCTCATTTCTGAAATTATGTCAACTCACCACTACGAATACAAGGATGAATGGTATCAAAGCCAGAGCTATGTAATTAGGTCAATGTCAACAAAAGACATTATTCAAGCAGAGTTTATCTGTAGCCCTGTCAAGTTCTGGCCAGACCATCCTTAGACACAGTATTCATACCTCAGGTAGAACTAATGTTCAAGGACCAGCCAATTTTCCGTAATTGTTTGAAGATCTTGACCACTGAGGGGCTCCCTGAGTCTCACTTTTACCTCTAGTTTCCCTCCAGTGGGCTTTCTGCCATCAAAAATCTGAAAGAGCCACAAAAAGAGCAGCAGTTAGCGCACATACGAATAATAATGTCAAACTATAGTGCCTCAGGCAACCATTGACTTTACTTCCCCGTGACTAAAAGGTGACAGAGATCACCTGCAGGTAACTGCAATGCTGGGAGGTGTCGCAGCCGCCTGTTTCCCCAGATTCGTAATTCAGCAGAGCAGGTTCCCCACACAACCCACGCAAGGCGGCTACGCCAATGGCTGCACTACACCTCCGCCTGCCACGCACCAAGCCCCCGAAGGACAAAAGGACTCCACGGGCAGCTCAGAGGACGCTAAGGGCAGCGGTGTCCATGAGACATCCTGTCTGTGATGCAGCCCAAGGGATTTTTTTTTTTTTTAAATTTTCTTTTTTTAAGATTCCACGTCATGATCTCCTACTGGATCTTACGGCAGCTCTCTATCCACTCTGTCAGTCTTCACTTAACCCTCTGATCTGTTAGCTACCAACACACATATTTTTGGGAATCACCTGAATTTCTGGTCCTGACAAAGAAAACTATCTTGATACAGAAAATTTGCAGAAGAGAGTCCCCAAGAAGTTCCCAGCACCAGAACGGTCACAGCTAAGACAAGCTTCAAGCGATGATAAAACAAAGAACAGCCCATTGTTTATCGAACTCATCCAACACAAAACCGTCACCTATATACAGATACATTTATGTTATGCGAATATTCATTTTCCCTTTGTGTTCAAACACTACTTACTAGAAGAACACACCCCACCCAGAAAACATACCTCGATGATCTCTCTAACTTCACATTCTGATTCCAGCTTTTCCAGTTTCAAGTGTGCTGCTCCCACCTGCTTGTCACTTCTGAAAAAGGACCTGTTTCAAAGAAATCTTCCTTAATTGAATGGGTAAGGTTTTTCAGGACATGAAAGAGAAAGCAAGCTAAGAGGTCATCACTATTTGCACCATCACCGCATCCAGGAGGGCTAGTCAAGACATGCTACTAGAACCCTACAAACCAGGGTGCAAGGGGCAAACCCTTCGTGAACTAGACTACGCGGACGAGCTATGGAAGGACTCATTTTTTAATTATTCTCTTGCAACCAAATTAAAGATGGGGACAGTAGTGAAGAAAAACAATCAACTAAACTAGCACTTGGAATGGCAGCAGCTTTCGTCCCTGCACAGGGCAACAGGGAAGAAGGGCCTAACAGCCAGCAACCTTCTGCAACAGGCTGTTAATAGAACAGGCTGAAAAACTTCCCAAGGAAGTTGTGTGTCTCATCAAAACAAACATTTCACAGGCACATGCTGGTTTTGGCAAACCTTATTAGGAGAAAGTCACATGAATCATTCCGTTTCATTTTGATAAATCAAAACACTCAATTTCAGCAAGTGAGAACATTTCATTTCAGCTATTGTTTTGATTGACCTTCATGCTGGTAGTTTTAACAGTCAAGAACTATCATTTTAGAATTTCTACTCTGCTGAAATTAAACACAGAGCATTTTTATCCTGCAAGGAAAACAATCAACTTTTCTCTACTACGGTCACTTCCATTTAACAGTTTTATCAGCAAGAGACCCATCTTTACCTTAAGAGAGACAGGTGGTGCAATCCTCATCCAGACAAACTCCTCCAAAAGGCAACAGCTAAGACTAAACACTAATTCCACACAAGTGTTCAGCTCAAAGCACTTGATTTCTTTACCTGCATCCAAGCTTTTCCCCAAATCAGCCTCCAAAAGGTTTGATAAACAACTAAAATCTAGAGATTCTGGAGGTAGGAAAGCCAACCAGCCATGCCTGTCATGTTCTAGAAAATCTGCCAAGAAGTCAGAAGCTTCCTTTTTTACACCATTCTATTTAGGAAAAAACCAAGCAAGCAAACCAACCTACAAACAAAAAACCCACCCCCAAAACATCCACCTTTCTTCCTATTATCATTAAGAGATATTAAGATATTATCAAGCAAGACGACATATGCAATGAAAACTCTGAAGATTATTATATGGAGCCTCATGATCATGTCAAGTCTGGCAACAGTAACCAGTATATTCATACACAGACCTGATGCTGCCATCAGTGCCTACAATTTCCAAGTGAACATCTGTGAACCGATTGTCTAAAATCTCTGACTGGAAAAGGAGTAAGGGTGTTTCCCCACATTCACCACCTCAACGATTGCTTCATCCATATATTCTCCAAAGAGCTCGTAATCAACCACAGTACAAGAAACCTGCCATCCAGACTTTAACCTCGCTTTCTGGCTTGCGTGTTCAGAAATAGCGTCAGGAATGCTATAGCTCATACAGCACCAGATGAGGTGGTACGGACAATGGTCTGGTACCGTTAGCCCAGGCTGCAGGGAGCTCAGACACTTCTAGACGGGATAAAGAGTGCAAGACCACTACTACTCCAAATGCACTGGAACGTGCAGCGAGTCACTGTTGGGAAGTACATCTCTTCCAAACACCTGTTGCTGAAGGACTT